CAGTACATGAAATTTGTATCTAACTCTTAGTTCTGTATAGACCAGTGTTATGTAGATACGCCTCTATTTTCAGTTTAACTGGATGTGTGTTCAGGATGTGAACTGATCTTTAGAAGATGCATTGGAAAGTTTTTTTATTATCTCACAGTCTTCCCCCATCTACCTTAACGATGTTATTGCTTCCATTTGAAGGAGTCTAGAGGTGTACAGCTCTGGAAAGTAAAGTCTCTCACAAGCTTTATTTGTGGGTTGATGGTTTTTTTGTGTTTTATTTTCCTTCCACTTCTGCCCTCTCATAAAATGGTTATAGCAGTGGCTGTATTACCAGGGTCTGTTATTTTTAATTCAGTAGTTATTGATTTAAGAAGATAGGGCCTACCAGAGCTTTGGTTTCTGAAGAAAAAGTCATGTAGCTTTACTGCTGTCAGCTCAGTACAGACTATAACTTAGTCTGTGTGTTTTCAATGAGGAAAAAGTAAAAGTGCATTTCTTTGAGAGATGAGATTAATTCCTATTTGAATGTGAAACAGTGGATCATAACACTTCTGAGTTAAATTACTGTAGCTGTTACCTTAGTTGCTGGTGGTTTCAACTGTCAGCACATGTTCTTCAAAAATTCAGGTCAAACCAGAGCAACAACAATAGCATGTTCAACTTAATTCTATGTAATTTTCTACAACTTTCATTTATTGTGCTGTTGACACGTAGCTTATATTGATAGCAGGGCAAGATCTTCGTGTATATGTGGTTGACTAGAAACAAACAAAAAACCCTCAAACTACTTATTTTCTTGATGATGTTAACAAGGAAAGCTTCCTCGTTTTAAAGAAATGAAAGAAACACAAGCCCTAAACACAGTTTGAATTGTTGGAGCTTGAGCTGTCTGCCAAATCTGCGTCTGCTGTTGTCAAGATTGAGTAGCTGGGATGGGACTCTGTTTCTGTTTAATACTCTTTGATTTTTGTTAATGCTTAACTTCAATGACAAGCAGATTTGACATGCCATCAAGGTATTGACCTCCCTCCCCCCAAGCCCTTAACCTGTCTCATCCTCTCAGGTAGAAGATCGGCATTGATTCTTACTTGTCCTTTGTCTGTGAATAAACTCGATAGTTTAAAATTAGAGATTCCAAAAGTGATATATCATGACACATCACAAGGAAGAACTAGAATGTCTGTATATATTTTCAAGAGGGAATATGCTGGAGTAGAGTGTGATCTTCATGGTTTTAGGAGAAAGTGAAAGATGAGTCTAGGAATGTTGATCATTGGTGTTTTCTGGCTAAAATATAACAAGTAAATACTGTATTAAAGTTGGAAGGATGAGCACTTTAAGTTTCTTTCTGAGCAATAATTTATTTTTCATTTAAAAAGCAGCTAACAAATGCTTTATTAGAACTTCTTGTGATTTTGCAAGGACACTTCTGCGCTGTCTTTTGGTGTGTTAACGCAAGCCTTAGAATAGACTTAACTTTAGCAGTTTTAAACAACTGACCTTCAACTTAGATGTTTTTAGCTGGATATAACCTATATTCTATTCAACACTAATGTATGCTTCATTGCACCTTCTAGAGTTTTAAAATGTTGCAGGAGGCCCATGTTGTTACATGCACTTAGGGTGAAATTGTTCTCATTAACTCCTCAACCTTCAAACACAGGTGAAACATTTGTGTAGGAAAGCCTTGTGCTGTTGACAACATCCTTATTTTGTTTTTATATATGAATACAAAAGCAATAATGCTAAAACTAACTTTTTGGGGTATTGTTACACAAGATGTCCATCAGTTGGTTTAATAGGTTGTTTAAAGCTGTCATTTAAGTGAGGAGTTTCAAAGCTAATTTTGTGCCCTATGCCTGTGCTGTGAGGGTCCTGTAGGGACTGGAGACAATACTGAGTGAAGTCATGACAGCATGGTGTTTTGTGAGGACAGACCTGCACGTTGCACTGCTGCTGTTAGGCTGCAAACTGGATCAGGGAAGTGATCTGATATTTGCTTGGGTTTATGTGTTGTAATATGGTGGCAAGGTGAAGATTATTTTTAAGCTATTAGTTCTCAAATTGGTGAAGCATGACCCTTACAAGCAGGCTCTATCAGCGTTACTGACTTCAGGAGTCTGCTTCAACAGAATCTGGGTCATAGTGACATTGAGTCTTTTTTTGAAATCTAGTGACAGTGGCTGCAAGGCCTTTCCATAAAGTCTGATATCTGTTAAATTTGATACAGTTTCTAGTTATGGACAGGTGAAAATTATAGTCAAAACATCAGGAAATTGTTACACAAAATTAAAATGTTGTTTGCTTTATATTACTACTTTAAAAACATGAAAGTAAACTGCAAGATCTTAATTTAAAAAAACTAACTTTTTCAAATTAACAGTTGGCAAAAGGGGAGAAATTGTAGTTAAAATTTAACTACTTGCTTTGTGGTATAAGTAAAAATATAATGTCCAAAGGATATTTACGTATTGAGGCCTTTTGTTTTCTGATGGCTTCATTTTAGTAGTAACTAAGTGGCTGAAGCTAGTATTTGTGTTGACATTCCTAAAATTTTTCTTTTTAAAGAGGAAAAATTGTTATAGTATCTTGTCCTTAATTTGGATTACTGTTTTATATAACTCATCTGAACAACTTTTTTTTTTTTTTTAAAAAAATGTTGTAGTTCATGCATAAAGTTCTAAGATCTATATATGATCAGCTGCTACCAAATTCTTCACTAGGTCATTAAAACATCTTAGGTGAATGAAACAATGTCAAATAATATTCCCAGGTATGTTTACTTGAGGGTTGGCTTTATTTTTTTCCTGCTTTGCTTTTTTTCCTTTTGCTAACAAGCACAGGGACAAATGTGCTAGAACTTGCTGTGTGAGAAATTTTCGCTGCGACTGAGCTTTTGATTTCAAACAAATTATAGTACTTAGAATATTTTACAATGCATTTAACTTTTGTTGGAAAATTCTAGGAGGTTTTGTTAATTCCCAAGTTTAAGTTAAATGTTCTTTTTTAGTACTTGGTCTTTGTGGAAACTAGAATACAACTTCCCTCTTACTCCTTGTTTTTCCACACACAATATGTAGTTAGCCTGAAAAATTGTTTCTTGGTTTGTACAAGAGAAATAGTACATAACAACATGTAAAAATGAAGTATGAACTGATAACAGCAATATACAGGGAAAAGTTCTGCTTGGCAAGAATGGGATTTTGCCATAAGCAGTGAGATGGAATTTTTGACATGGAAGTTTGTCTTTACCTTGGACTTTATAAAAGTTGAAGTAGAACAGACTGATGGTAAAGCTTTTGGCCTAATAGAATGAATTATTGAATTTAAAATATAATTTGATATGAAACAAAACATTGCTGTATAGCTTTGAAAGGGTGCAATCTTATGTAGTAAGAGTATAACATAAATAATGCAGGTGTGACACTTCTACACAAGCATTGCCTTAACTTTCAAATAACGCTTGTTTAATTGTTGGTAAGGCTTTTTGAATAGCTGTTGATACAATAGACATGTTTTCCAAGACGTGTGTTTTGATGAGAGATCATAATGTTTTTGTTGGTCCCTGCAAGTTTGATTAAATAACAAATTGGTTTCAGAAAAGTTTTTCAATATGCTTAAACGTTTTGTCATTTTCAAAAATCAAAGGAATAATATAATTTATAGGCAGGTTATCTATATGTCAATATATAAATAGTATTTAATGCTGCAAATAACCTTCAGAGCTTCTAAAATACAGATTTAAGTAGTGTATTTTTTTAAAAATCTGTGAAGTATATAATGACCAAGACTCAGTGTTTCTCAACTTAAAATTTGGCTACCTGAAATGTTAAAGCACATAATTTTTTTTCTACAATACTGAGTATGCTTAAGAGTTGGTTGTGTGTTTTGGTGTTTCTTTTTTTTTTTTTTTTTTTTTTTTTTAAGGACTACCTGTTAAAACAGCTTTAAACTGATGCTGACGATATGAGCATAGCATGCAGTAATCACTGAATTCAAACACTTGTATGTTACACAAGACCAAGTTTTGTTTTGAAATGCTTAGGATTTACTAGTCTTCAAGTTGAAACTGGTCTGAAAATAAGGCTGTGTTTAAATGTGAACATCACAAAAAATACATGCCCATTATAAAAAAAGTTTCTGATCCAGGATGGTTATCTAGGAAAGTTGTTACTGGTTCTCACACTATGATGATAACTGCTTTTGTGTTTCTGCTGAAGTTCTTTTGCATAGTCTACTTTCTTACAACGTTGAGATAAGGGGGATTGACTTGAGAGTATCATCCTTGTGCTTGAGGTTTGGCTCCATATCCCTATGTGTATCTTTAAAAGTGCAAGGAAAGTTATGTATGAGGGCTTGTTATTGGACCATTTCCTGGTGAACTAGGTCATTGCAGATTTGACCCATTATGGTGGGTTACCTTTATTTTAGGCTTACTTTCCCATTTAGAGAATTACTTAGATGAAGTAAAATGTTATGTTAAGGAAACATGATGTGCAGAGAGTACTGCTTACATCCTTGCTACTCGTGCTAGGCAAAGTCTAGCACAGACTTGGTATTCTCCCCCAGCCCCCTCATGAAGCAAGGCGATACGTAATATTGCCCACAGAGGTAGAGCTGGTGTTGTTTCTCTAACCCTCCTGTACGCTAGCCAGCAGAGAAGTCAGCTTAAAGCTAACTGCGTGATGCTGATGGGCTGAAAATATACTAAAGCCTCCTTACTTGTGAAGGTGAATGTCTTATGTGTGTGAAGTCAGCTGATGTAAAAGATCATGCCTCATAGCAACTTGTAACCCTGCAATCAGTCAGTATTTAGAGTTGGAGAAAGGCAATTCGCTTGTCCTTAACAGATTTAACACAGATTGCTCTGGGATGTAAATGCTAACAGTAGGCTTAACTCTTATTTCCTTAGTATGTGTTTCTTGTCTGTTACTCTGATGTTAAAAAGTAATTTGAAAGTTTTGTTTTGTTTCTGTCAGTAACTTGTATCTAATTGCTTTTATTAGTCCCATTACAACCCAGGGATCACAAACACAGCAACTACAGAAGCATTATGGCATTACCTCACCTATCAGTTTAGCTGCCCCCAAGGAGATTGACTGCATGCTTACCCAGAAATTAATAGAAACCCTAAAACCTTATGGTGTGTTTGAAGAAGAAGAAGAACTGCAACGCAGGTGAGTAAACTCACTCTAGCAGTGGTTGTTTTGCTATCTTCAGGTTTACGTAGTTAAATACTGAACTCCAAGCATGTTTATGTTCTTTCAAATACTTGATTAAAAGACGAGTGAAATATTAAGCTTGATTTCTCTCACCTTAAGAGGACTACCTCAGCATGCAGAAAGAAACTAAGATTACTTTTAAAGTTTGGAGGCTGGCTTGCATTTTTTTTTCCCTCTTTCATAATTGTTTTGTTGTAGAGGCTCCTATACTTTTTTGTCTTTATTAAGCTTTCTAGATTATTTTTTCTCAATACTGATTTTCACTGGTTTTAGATGCATGTGTTTTATGAATTAAGATGTATTTTGAAAGTGAGTAGAATTCTTATACCTGAAAACGTGTGTAGGCCTTGCACGCTTACATTTATTTTCTGAGTTTAAGTCACTTGAACATCCTTAAAGGAAAAAAAATAGCGGAAAGGTTGTAAAAGCAGCTTTGTTTCAGTGTATATGTATAACAAGATCTGTAATTTGATCTGCAGTCTTTCTGACTTAGTGTGTAATGATGATCTTAGACCAAACTGGTAGTATTTTTTAAGTTGGTGACCTATGATTCTGCTGTTTTATCAATAGGATTCTAATTTTGGGAAAATTAAATAACCTGGTAAAGGAATGGATACGCGAAATCAGTGAAAGCAAGGTATGGATGTATTTTACATGGAATTGCTCATACTAATACTACTGTAGGAAGATAACTTCAGAATGTGTTCCCAGTCTAAACAAAGTTAATCTTACATTTGGGGATCAAATTTGATCAAATTAGGAAAACAAACACCACCTTTGTGTAGTTTCTTTTGTTTCCAGGCCACAGCACCCCTTCAGAGTAGAACCTTGTGGAAGAAAGAAACTGATAAATACTGGAAAAAGTTATGATAGTTGTAACAGTAATTTTACGTTGTTTTTTATTCTCCCTAGGCAGAAATATAGCTTGACTTTTTGTCAAAATACATATATATAGTACGGTGTTAACTATATGTTGGTTTGTTTGGATTTGGGGACCAGTGCTAGATCTTAAAATGGACTTCTTGCAATTTTATGATCTATGGTATTTTTCTTCAATATTAATCCCGTAATGTTACTTTTGTAGACTAGTTAAATGATGGAGGTGGTTTTGCCAGTTTGTTTGTCCCATTGCTCCTCTCACACCTTTTTTAATGATGATAGACTTGCAAAAATGTAAAGATGGAAGTGGCACTTTTTAGGGATAAAACCATAATTGTTACGTTGTTTTGCTGTGAGTATGTTTAGGATTGTATTTCTTCTGTACACTTACGTTATGAAGTGGGAATTTATATGTGAATGAGACTGTGGGTAGGAATGGCCTTGCTATGTATGTGCTGATCCTTGAAAACAAAATAGTGAGAGTTTCTTGCTTTGTGCAAGCTTAGGAAGTAAAATTTCTCCAATACACATTGCAAAATAATTCAGTTTTGATTTTGCTTATCTCTTTTGCTGTGTAACCATTAATGTAGGGCTTCAGATTGTAACACTACATCCTGTTACAAAGGGGCAACTGTCTTTGCCCACAGTACTGGGGATTCAAGAGATTTTTGAAGATAGAAATCTAGGAACTTTTTCTAAAAGTACCCGAATAATTGTAAGATAAAACACATATCTCTCCCCAAACCAAGCTTTTGTCTAAAGAATGTAGTATAGGTGTCTCTGAAAGCAATTTAATATGGTATTTTTCTGTTGCTCTAAATTGGAATCCATTGTCAGTTTTGACATCAGTCCACGATACCTGAGTATTAAGCAAAATGTGTTTAATGTCCATAATATTTTAAAGCCGTTGCACCTTAAAGGTAGAACTGCTACATTTTAGATACATGGATGCTACAATTGACAAGCCTGAGGGAGTAATGTGTAATGTTGTTGAAATGTTACAAATGCTTCCAAAGTGGGAAACATACTTTTGTCTTTTATGTAAATAATGGTATTTCTTCAGCAGTAACTACGTGTTAAACAGCATAAATTTTGTGACTTTTAAATACATTGTGTATGTTATAATTTAAGGTAAAATAACTGTTTTTCTTTGCTCTGTTTAGAATCTTCCACAGTCTGTAATAGAAAATGTTGGAGGAAAAATTTTTACTTTTGGATCCTATAGATTAGGGGTTCATACAAAAGGTAACATTGACTTTTATAACACAAAAATTACTTTTAATGAAAAATGTATGTTTGAGCTAATGACATGTCTGTAAATGTCACACTTAAGTTACAAAAAATTGCTGGTTCTTGAGGTGGTATTAGATGATTTTTTTTTTTTTTTTTTTTGGTCAGCCATCTCCAAGCTTTTTCTAAATGGAAAAAAAAGTGTTCCTATTTTATGTTTTTCTCATGGGTTGGCAAACAGGGGAAAAAAAAGTTGGAAATATTTAAAAATAGAGAGTTTTATACTTCAGTGTCCATTGTTAGTTCAAAATTATTACAAGTGTTCCACAACTGCAAGAAGAATGTATGTATGTTTTTGTTGTGCTTAGTGGCCATGAACTTGTAAAAAACTTTTTTTTTTTTCTCTTCCATTTAGTTTCATTCAGTAATCCCAAAGAAAATCCATTCTGTGGGAAGAGAAACTAAATTTTCCTGTTTGGTTTGAAACAAATGTTTGTCCACTTCTGGCACTTCATGTGTGAAGTGTGAATAACTCACTGTGTGCTAATAAACAATTTCAGGTGCTGATATTGATGCCCTGTGTGTTGCACCAAGACATGTTGAAAGAAGTGATTTTTTCACGTCGTTTTATGAAAAACTGAAACAACAAGAAGAAGTGAGAGATCTGAGGGTATGTGAACTGCCTGACACAACTAGCTGAACTGATGATGATGAAAAGTAAATAGTGAAAGATAATGCATTAAATAAGTAAACATGACTTGATTATTAAAGGTTGCAGTGAATTTTTAGCTAACCTGCAGTAAAGCCTTTCATCATCGTTCAGATAAACAGAGATTCTTCCGAATTTTCTCTGTTCCTACTTAAGAATGATGCTCATTTAAAATCTAGATGGCAGGATGGTATCCTAGTATGTGTAATACTGTATGCACCGAAAGAACTGCTTTGAATGCTTTATTATCTGAACGCTTCTATTAGTCCTTAAATCCATGTGCTAAAATGAAGAGGTTTCTGATTTTCTGATTAACTTTGCTATAAACTATTTAACTCCAGCTGATGTAGTTGTTTTAGCAGGAAGGTAGATCAATGTATACTATTCAGCATAGCTCTACAATAATGCAAATAAACTTTAGGTCAGGGTGTCATAACACTTTTAAATCATTCCGTAAGTAAGGTTAAGTGCAGAAAATAATGTTGTCTCCTCTTATTAAGAACTAGAAAATTGAAGTGTGTTTAGCCTCTGACAATTCCCAAGACTTCTTTTTTGGGGTTATGCAGTGTTGTTTGCTTTTCCAAAAGCCGTGCTCTGTACATCTGCACTTAGTTCAGATGCTCTATTCAGGAAAGTGATATTCCTGGCTGACTGCAGAGCAGACATCAAGTTACCCAGTTCCATTGTGGATACTGTTTGTCAAAGTACGTTATTAATGAGGACATTTTGAAAGGATGCTTGAGCTCTGGACACTGGTGACTTGCGACTGGTTTAGGTGAAGTTAGACTGCATCGTTACACAGGTGCATCCTTGTAATTTCTCATAAAATACTGACTGCAGAAGCAACAGAATTAAAGAGAAGAGGCCTTTTAGAGCAAGATTCCCTATAGGTTGGCCTTAGAATGCTTAAGGGATGCTGTGAGGAGTAAAAGATGCTTGATCAATATCCTTCATGTAGTGAGAAGAGAATTGGACCTTGAGGTAATGTCGTCAGAGATGGTTGGTATGAGTTTGGGTTGTAGTTAACATCCAGATGACTGTAGCATGGAGTAGATCACTGCTTACTGCTTAAATCCTCAATGGTGTAGAAAGTAATTGCTGACAAAAGTTGACCTGGAAAGAGAAGCATCTGTATAAATAGCATTTTATTATGATTGTGTAGGCCTGCTAACTATTGTTTGTAAAGGTTTTTCTATACTGAAAATAAAATACAACTTTTTTCTCCCCAGGCTGTTGAAGAAGCTTTTGTCCCAGTTATTAAACTTTGTTTTGATGGAATAGAGGTAAAGACTATATTTTGTTTTATTTTGGTAGAACATGGTTAAAGCAATATTTTGAAGATCTCCATAACTCTTGTAGTATTCATTAATATGAATGCTAATAAAGTGACTCTGAATTCATAACCAGGTCCTTGACAGAAGTCCTCATTTGTGTAATTTAACTTGGTATTTAAAGCTGAAACAAGTCTGTCTTCATGTGTTTAAACCTGCGTGTAGAATTATCTTCCCGTTCTTTAAGTACTGCTATGCACTTGTACTGACCTGTAGAGTACCAGCATTGGCATTATTAAGATGTGACATTTAATATAAATGATACACGTAAATAATGTGGCTTTGGTAATTTTTTGGCTGCTAATCGTGAACTGCCCAAACTTTACATTCAGATTTGCTTCAGCACTTTATACTATAGGAAGCTGTGTCATCTTTGGTCGGTTCTCAAAAAGGTACCTCTGACAGCAAATGGGGTATAGGCCTTGTGCTGATCCCTTCAGACACGTGTGAACACGTGACCAAAGCAATGGTTTTGGTGCCTTCAGCCTCATGGATCAGCTATCTTGAAGCTTAACTTGCTTAAATTGATTTTTAATATGTTGTGAGAAGTTCCTGAGAAAACAGGAACACTGCTTTCAGAAGGTGCTATGTTAATTTTTCTCAGACTGTTTTATAGTCAAGTTGTCATCTTTCTTTGACAAGACAAAAACGTCTGAACTGTTCATACAAGCAGTTCATCAGACTTGTAGTTGGATTATATCAAACAGCAACTAGTGGGTATGGGAAGGCTCCTTCACAGTGGGTGAAGAATTCCCATGCTAATCTTCTGACACATGACACGGTTTGAAGAACTATATTATTGTGAGACTGGACAGGTCTGTCTGCCCCAGTCTGAGTTAAATCTCTGCCTTGCAATTAGAATGGTCATTAGTTAGGATACTGGCAATTTTTGAGTGTCAGAAAGATGATCCACCTCCTTTGCACTTCTATGTTCAGCTTTACTTGCTTGTATTTTCACTGATGTTTGTGTCAGTTGACGCTTATTTTTTTTTTTCTCCAGATGAGAGAGATGTAGAGAAATGTGATACTATGCAGTGATTTCACATCTGTGTCAGCCATTTTATTACTGCCTGTATACAGTTGCATATTAGGAACGTTTTTCTGGAGAACTTGTTTTCTGTTTACATAGCCTGGATATTAATTTGAAATGTTGAATCTTGCCATTGGCACCTTCTGGCTAGTCTGGTTTTTGTATGGTTTATTCATTTACATTTGAAGCCAGTGTTGTCTCTCTTGTTTAAAAAGGAAATTGAAAATGCAAGCTTAAGCAGGGAAAGAAAAGGATTATCTGCTAGAAGAGTAGTAGTATCTTGCTCCAATATAGTAGTAATCTGATGGACTCTTGATGGTTTAGGTTTATGGCTGAGGCTTAACCCATGTTGCTGGCAGTGCATGCAAGTTCTCTAGTCATGAACACCAAGTTATCATAAACATCTTTTTATACATATATACAGGTGTCATTAGAACAGTTTCTGATGACTGAATTTGTGCCCAGTATGTTACCAGAAGATTCTAATTTTCCTTTTCCTAATCCAGGCAGAAGGTATTCTTCCTGTAAAGGAAACCTTAGAATTGAGGAAAAGGACTTTAACTGACAGGATCACCAAAAAAGTGAACTTGAAGTTTCTGCCAATACTAGTTATTAGATATACATTGGGTGTTCTTGCTTAAAATAATAAGTGTCTTGATTTTTTTTAGTGCTTCCTGTAGAAAACTGATTCCTTGCTCACCTCCAAAAAAAGTTACATAGGACTTGAAAAAGTTATGTTGGATTTGAAAAAGCTTTTTATTGTCAATGGATTTGTATCTTTGGAGGTGAAAGACCTTGTAGAGATCAGGACAGAACTGCAAGCTAAAGTTAGTTTTGAACTTGTTTTACATTGAAAAGTAGTCCTTTTGACTTAATCGGAAACTTCTGCTTGTAGTACAGAATGTTAAGATTTGCTGTTAAAGACTTGAAAATCAGAGGCACACTGAATTCTTTAGAAATTAGTTTCTTTGGAGAAGTGCTTCATAGTTTAAAATGGATGCTGAGTTTTAAGCATCTATGAAAAGTTCTTAATTTTAAGGTATCTTCGGCTTAATTTGGTCTGAAATAATTTTACCGTAACCAAGTCAGTTTTGTTGTTGGTACAGTAGCACTAGGTATTTAATTGTCTTGTAGATGACATGGTAGCAGTTCAGGATGACTAAAAGCCTCATCTGGTACAGGGGGCTTGTTGCCTAGCAGGCCAGTTGCTGATACACACTTTATATTCTCAGCATGCTGGCTGACTGATACCTGATATAAGACTGGCAGGGCAAACTGACTTCCTTACTCAAATGTCCTTGCTGTGTGTGGGACAATGTAAAACTAATTCAGTGCCAAACAGTATCTTAGATATTTTTGACTTGGAAAAGCTGTTATGATTGATTATTGCAGAAGTAATAGCAAAGAAATTTTTAATTCCAAAATTTATACAAATTTGTACACTTCCTCAGTAGCTTGCTGGATTTTCAGATCTTCGTCTTTTCTGTAATCAGATGTGTAGACTTTTCATAGATGCTGGTCCTATACAGAGGCAGCCAGTTGCATGTGTGCTTTGCTGGATGGGGAAGGTCTATTTTTTCTGTAATTTGGTGACAATTTTGAATATTTATGTTAAAACTTGGTTATGTTGTCACAAATTGTTTTCATGTAGTAGAGTTTTGTATTCTAGACCTAGAAGTGGTGCTTATCCCTGAAAGCTGTTTACTTACATTGACAGTCAGCATAGTTTTTGTGTGTGTACTGGTGCTGTATTGTTTTTAATGTGTGTTTTTTCACTTTGAAAAAGGAGTCGTAAGATAGAGGAAGCATCTAAAAGCGTTTCAGTTAATGTCTGTGAAGGACGTCAGTCCACACTGTTGAACGAGATTCTTTGTAATAGGAATTTTATTCTTAGTATACTTGATACCATGGGTTTCAAAATTGGTTCTACAGAAGAAAGAACAGTTTTCTAATGTCTTATCTCTGTTTCTTTTAAGATTGATATTTTGTTTGCAAGATTAGCACTGCAAACTATTCCTGAGGACTTAGACCTACGAGACGATAGCCTACTTAAAAATTTAGACATTAGATGCATACGAAGTCTTAATGGTACGTATATAAAATTTTGCACATGAACTTCTTATATAATCTAATAAATCTTGGCGAGTGTTTGATACAGTAGTTCAGTTGTGGACTTGACTGAAAATACAGCAACTGCATATGTGTCAGTGAAGTCATAGCCAGGTTCATATAACTTTTTGGAGAGAAATGTTTCTTTTTGGCTAGACTTTTGTAATTATTTTTTTTTATTTTATTTGGGAAGTAAATGATGCTGTCAAGAAATTAATGGGACTTGCAAGAATTTTGTGTGGAGCATTGTCTGTTTCTATAAAAACATGTACCTGTTTTTTTCAACTTGTGAGTTTTAATATGCAGAAAATTACTTGATATATTTGGGTTATCAAAAAATTGACGGTTTGAGGTCAGGTCTCTAGTAGTGTACCACCTTTGGTAAGCCTTAACTTTTGTGTCATACCACAGCTTGAACTTTTTACGTACAGGATGGTAGGGGCCTCAGCCTGTGTGCAGCTTGGCAGGGAATAGGAGCATGTGAGAGATCATTGATTTTTATTAAGAGCTGAAAATGTGATAATTTGATATTACCACAGCAACTTCCACCGTTTTGTGAAAAATCACATTTGTTCAGTCTTTGGAATCCATACTTCCCTCTTATTTCTTTGAAAGGAACTCCTAGATTTAGATAATACTATTTTCTTGCAATCAGCTCTCTGCAACTACTTAATAACAATTAAGAACTACTTATTCTTGAGGTAAAACAGACAAAACCCCAAGCATTTAATATTGTTACCTGAAATGTTACTCTTAAGCCTGAAAATACCCTGTCAAAGTAATGATACAACTCATATTTTAAAAAACTGTTCTCTTTAGCCTATTCTTATAAATTCAAACAAAGCTTTGACCTATGTCGTCTTGATTTTCTGTAGGCCTGTGAAGACTCGTGCTGTTTTAATTTTTTCTGCATGTTCTGTGGTACAGTGCATGTAACCCCATAACAGCAGAACTTAAAACTTGTTTCTTAAAGACTTGTACAGTCCATTAATAAAGAAAATCAAGTAGTAGTCTAAAACTGCAACTATGCATGCATGAATTGTCTGAGTGCTGCTGTAAAATGGTAAAAAAGAAGAAAGCTTAGATTTTTTTATTCAAACCAAAAGCCATCAAAATATAAATTAATAAATTTTGGAGGCAGCAAGTGTAATGGATTCCTTCCTTTGACAGGTTGCCGGGTAACCGATGAAATTCTGCATCTAGTACCAAACATTGACAACTTCAGGTTAACACTGAGAGCTATCAAACTCTGGGCAAAACGTAAGCAGATTTTTTCCAAAATATTCAAAGTTTTCATTAACCTCCTGCAGTTACTGATAACAGTCTCCTTTTGTCTCTTTCTTTCTCAATCCACAGGCCACAACATCTATTCCAATATACTAGGTTTCCTTGGCGGTGTTTCCTGGGCTATGTTAGTAGCAAGAACCTGCCAGCTTTATCCAAATGCAATAGCATCAACTCTTGTACATAAATTTTTCTTGGTATTTTCTAAATGGTATGTTGGGTTTTTTATTTAGATTACACTAAAATAAAATTGTTTGTAGACACTAAATTTTAGTCCTGTTTTTATGGTATCATTTTCAGCTGTTACCAGATTAAAGTGCTAGTAATAAACACTGTTATTACTGCCAGAAAATTGTTAGCTTGAGCTGAGTTTTTCAAGAAGTTGTTCAACATGTCTTGTACTTAAAGTATTGAAAAAAAAAAAAAAGCCCAATTTTTAATTCATGTTTTCTGAAGTACTTGTTACAATTCAACACTACTCTTCAGGTGAAATACTTACATAGTGCAAAACAAGAGCAGACACCCCGAAAGTTAGTCTTTTAAGTTTCAGATATTGGGATGATGGGAAATGGAAGTATGTCAGAAACTGATTTAGGCACACAGCCTAAATGCAGTTTAGGAGAACCGGTGGCAAAAGTGTGGTTTTTAATCTTGTCAGTGTGGAGAGTTAGGTGATTTGGAATTACAAATGGTTTCATACTGCTGAGCTGGTTACCTCAGAAAGATAATTTGAGTAAGTCTGATGGGAACAATGGGAATGTTCCAAGTAAATTTAGAATGAATGGAACCAAAGAGTACTTTGCAGATTACAAATGAATATACTTTTTCTTGGAAGAGGATGCCTGGATGCCTATATTCTTCATGAGACATTGACAAATGTTAAAAATTATTTTCCCAAATTTGTGCTTTATTTCAGCAATAGTGTCTTTCCTTCCTAATGTGAAGATAATTTCCACAGTTTCACTGTCTTGAATCCATAGGCTTTATGGCCTCTTTGAGGTACCTAGTGCTTAGTAATATCTTGCCACACTAAGCTAATAGAGGAAAATTGGTTGCAAACTCTGTTTAATGTGTTCCTTATAGTGCTTTTCATTTTATATGTGCATAGCATAGGAGCATTAATGTCCAAATACCAAGAGATTAACTGACTTCTTTTCATAGGAAGCTAACTTCACTCATGGGAATAGAGACAACTTGAACAGAAGTGCTATTTATTTTTTTTAATACATGTGCTTTGTACCAAATTTATAATGCTGTAATCACACTGGCTGTTTCTTCTGTAGTTTGTCCATGAAACAGCTATTTTGAAGTTGGACACAATGTCATTCTTCATAGTTGATAGCTTTGTTTCAAGAAAAATTTAGAGGAGTTTAGTTATCTAAACTAGTGGTTATAAAGCTCCAAGGCTACAGAAAATTCATTGTTCTGATGCCCTGGAAAAGCTAATTACAACTGCACTGTAGATCAGCAATACAGCTTATTTAACCCCAGTTTGACCAGCTTAATTGTGACAAAATTATGCTTTACTGTGGGATCAGAGCTAAGAAGGATCATATTCAAAAGTATTGTTTGTTGAACATTCATGGTTCATGGTTGCATCCAATAGTCTTATTCAGTGCTACAATCTTTTTGAACAGGGAATGGCCAAATCCAGTGCTATTGAAACAGCCAGAAGAATGCAATCTTAATTTGCCTGTATGGGACCCAAGGGTTAGTGTATTATTTTTTCCCCTATTAGTCACACTGTACAATAAATTCAGTTGCTTAAAAAATCCTAGGTGAACTTCATTTTGGGTTTATTAAACATAGTATTTTGGTGTTATGTCTTCTGTATATGTAACTTCTGGTTCTCCAGAGTATGGAACAAAGTTGACTTGTCTAAACTGACCGCTTGAAGCACACTTGCTGAATGATGTACTTTTTACTCCTAGCTTTTCCAGTATGTGATCTTAATAGTCATTCAGTGTAATTAGATATAAGTCTTAAAAGTGATAGGTTTTTGAAAAACTGCTTATCTTAAAAGCATTTGCTTCTGACTTAAAGCCTGTTGCTTCAGCAAGCATATTGAATTCACTTAATGCAGCTGCATAGGTTCGGTTCCACATAATCATAGTAATTTGTGTTTTCATCTTGGACCAAAGAAGATCATAACTGGAAGTGTTTTAAGGTTTTTTTTGTATAGTATTTATAATATTTGGTCTCATCTTTGTAGCGCTTATATTGGGGACACTGGACATGTAATGTCCTTCAGGCAGTCAATAAAACAGATTGCAGCAGATGCACAGTTCACATGCTGAGGTTTCAGTAGGGTGTAGTGTGAATGTGTTCAGTGCTGCTTTGTCTGTTGTAGAATAGGTGGTGTTCAACTCATCTGTTTTTGGTGACTAATGTAAGCACCAGAGGTTGAGTTGTATGCCCTTTTATGCTTCAAATCTGTTTTTCTGGTTAACACAAGTCCACATTTAAATAATGTGATACAGTTGAAAAAAATGTTCTTGAGTCTTATTGTTATTCTTAGGACAGGGGGCTTGAGGTCAGTGTGTGATGGGAACTGTTTGTGTTGTAGTAGCTAAACAAAGCAAGTTAAAGACAGGAGTTTAATTTACTATCCACAAAATTGCTACCGTAAAGCTATTTTTAAATATACTGTGTGGTTTTGTCCCTTCATTTTTGTTTCCCTGTGTGCTGATTAATAAAAGATAATGCTAATGCAAGTGATGCTTCTGGCAGGTTGCCTAGAGCCTCTTGTCTTAAGATGGCCCTATATTTTTAGTAATGGTACAGAAATAAAATATAAAATATTTTTCACAAAATCTGAAGACAGTAATTCTTCCGAAGGTGCTCATGTGGTGATAAGGTATCCTTTGTTCTGATGTGATCACAAGGTAATCTCCATAAAAGAGAGAAATTGTTCTGTTCAGTTGGTATTTCTGGACTTGGAAATAGCTGCAATTTGATCTTGATGTGCTGACAGGTTATAGCCTTCCCACTTCACTGTGGTTCAGAATGATCTGTTGTGAAAGCATTGGTTTTTTTGGTAAACTTTCTCTGAACTGTTAGTAAATCTACTTGGTCTGCAAACTAAGGTCTCTTAGAATTTAAGACTCTATTGTAGTAAAAGGAGAAATCCAAATTTGTTAACTCATGTGTATGCTTGAAGAAAACTGATTGGCTGTTGTTATATATAGGTAAACCCCAGTGATAGGTACCATCTTATGCCTATAATTACACCAGCATACCCACAGCAGAACTCTACCTACAATGTGTCCGTTTCCACACGGATGGTCATGGTTGAGGAATTTAAACAAGGTAAGTATTATCTCATGCTCTCTATATAAATGTTTTCAAATTGATTTAAAATAGTTCAGTTGTGGATACGCTTTGTGAAGGGGGAGGTGGGGGTATGTTAAATAGCTTCTTGACATGAGAGACTTCAAGTTCCAAATTCAGTAGAGACTTCTGTGGATCTGTCCTTCACTCTTAGAAACCGAGGGCAATTAATTAGCATGCCTTTTGCTCTAAAAACTATAATTAAATGTAGAGAATATTTTTGGTTTTTTTTTTTAATTTAGTGGCTTTAGATTGTGTCATGAGACATAGGAGAGTAGTGTAGTAATCCCACTCAATGGCCATTTCTAGGCCTAATCTAAGACAAACTTGCTCGAAGACGAGTCCTCTAGGCTTATCCTAGTAACCTACATGGATAATTAATTACAGTGGGTAAAAGGTTATCAAAACAAGGAGTAAACTCACTGCAGAGAGCACATACCAGTAACTCTCTCAGGCAGAGCAGTAGCTTATTGTCTCACTGTTTCTTTGCCTTGTACAATTTATTGCACAAGAGATAATTCAAGTACTGTAAGGAAGATCTCTATCTTTAGACTGAGTAGTTCCAGTGGCATACAGGAAAGGCTAAACTAAGCTGTTACCCTTCAAGGCAAAAGTATGTGGAATCATCAGTCTGATAAGTTAACGTACATTTCTAAATGTATTTTATTGAGATTCTTCTTTAATATAATTTTTAAAACTAATGACCACTTAAGGTGTGACTGGAATATAAGATTTGGTGATAAATTCCTGTGAGTTTGAAGGGGGGAAGTAATTTGTAGTAACCTTTGCTAAGTTTATAAGCTATTTTTACTCTGGGTGCTAAACTGTATTTTATAAAAAAAAGTTTAAGTGTTTTTTTTATAATTTAGGTCTTGCTATCACAGATGAAATTTTGCTGAGTAAGGCAGAGTGGTCCAAACTTTTTGAAGCTCCAAACTTCTTTCAAAAGTACAAGTATGTATTTTATGGCATGGCAGAATACTTCTAAGTTTTATCAGTTACTATCTAATGATGCTTTACAGCACAGAGTCTTAAATATACATACTTCCATTAAGGGTTCTTTTTGGATTTTTCAGTAGAGGGGGGGAGTGAATGCACTATTGTCCTTTCTCTTAGAAAATGAATAATTTCCTCAGATTATGGGTTGGTTGTTTTTTTTGGTTAGTCCCTGACCAGTTATTTAGAATGTCACCAGTTAACTAAACAATTGGTATGCTAACAATGAAGTTGAAGACCTATCAGCTGGGTTGACTTAACAGAAATGTTCTTTAGTGGTGTCAGTAAGAATTCTAAAAATGGGTCTTGCCTCCCAGGAAACAAGATATTAAAAGAACTAATTCTGAAGGTCAATATTTAAGATGAATACATACTTGAGACTGTGTGTTTTCTTCTGTCAATATAGTCAACAGTTCACTCTGGTAATAAAAGATATTTTTGCCATTGTGTTGACTAACTGCCAGATGTACTAGTTATTACTAAGAGTTTTTTCATTAAAGCTTAAGGCTTTTGGCTCTTTATTAATACTCTCACACCTAGCTTCTCTAATTTTGTAATGTCTCTAAGGGAAGTACTGAAGTTCACACATCATATATTTAGGGTTTTTAGTAATATGCTTGTGGGGCAGAAGCTTGTCAAATGTATATGGACTTGCTGAAAGTTGTATTTTTATAATAAATATGGATTATTAAAATACGGACTACATCTTCTTTGCCCTCAGTTGAAATTGGAGACCCATTTTTCTTGAATCAAGATCAAATATATTTTACACTTGTTTGTGTGTTGGGTGGTTGGTTATGTACTAATCTAAGCAAGATTGAAATATACAGTTCCCCCATTAAAAGAGACTGATGACCTTCATAATGTGTCTGTGTTTTGTTTCTATACCTTTTGCATGATAAAAGATTTAAACTATTTCGATGGTTTTTGTTGTACCTTGGAAATTAAGTTTGAAAACACTTTAGAGCACTAAAATTATATTTTTTTTTTTTAAAGTTAAAAATGGGCTGCAGACAAATCAGTTTCTGCTCAAGAGGCTTGTACATATTCTTTGTTTCTTTCAAAACTAGGAAAAAATAGGAAACATTAAATGTCATTTGCTGGCTTTAGCCATTTTGTCACTTTTAGCGATAAAAGCTGCTCTTGCCAACATGCGCTGTCCAGACCTTGTCCCAAATGTCTTTATTTATTTTTCTTGTGGAATAATATTATGGAGCCTGCTTTAATTTAAATTACTCAGTATTTTTTCTGTTTTAACTAGTAAGTTAATTTAAAGCTTTGATTAGTAACCTTTACAAAATAAAATCAGTATATGCAGTCAGTGTGCCATAAATGTGGCTGTTGGTGAAATCTCCATCTGAAAGCTCCATGTTTCCAAGTTTTCTTTTTTTTTTTTTTTTTTTTTTTTTTTCCCCTCCTGTCTTCACCATCTCCTGTTTAAATTTGTAGATGCCTTGATTCGTTACTGTTGAAATTCAAAGCAGTATGTAGTGTCCTGCCAGCTAAGGGAAGATCCAATTCTTGCTGAGACATCTAAAACCCATTTCTTTTCTTCTCTTCTCAGAAAGCATAGCTTTAGTAATCTATCCCTCTCAATGACACTTAGTTGTTCAACATCTATGTTGATTGTAAGCCCCTTTGACTTGTTAGCTGTGTTTTAAAATAAACAAATTTCAATGATGTGTGACTAAGGAAATCTGAAGGCTACTGTGTACTTGCATGGCAGAAGCAGATTAGAAATTGGGATAATGGGGAAATGTGTATTTATTTTTGCTATTTAAACATCAACAGTTACTTGGAGCTTAGGGAGTTACAACATGGGATATCTGCCCTTCATGTAGGTTAAATTTTTCAGATGGGGGAAGCAACAAAGAACATACACTTGCTGAATATGGTGTTTTACAGGGAAATGGCAAGAATAATTTCGAATGGATATAACATGAGTATGATGTGTTATGAGAGAATGAGCTTAAAATCAAGAGGGAACTTTGATGAAGGAAGATAACACTCATTTAATGAGCTCTAGCCTATTGTTTCTCTGTTATAAAGACAGATATCCTGTTAAATAAGTAGAATATAAATGTACCTTTTACAAAGGTGCTTTGAATACTTGCCTTGATAGGACTTTATTTAAAGCACGGGATAATTTAAAGTGTAAATCCTGGACATTTTAACATAGAAAAATTAAGATGAACATGTTCAGGTGTTCTCATTTTTTTTTTTTTTTTTCAGAAAGTAGCATGACTCTTAAAAATAGTTTTAGGGTTTTTTTTGTAGGTGCAGGTATTAATGGTGTAAGACAATTCCATAATATCTACATTAGGTTATCTTGATGAAAACATAATGCTGATAGGGAGGCAGTGAGAGGGAAACGGCACCAGTTTTTTAAAAAAATCTCAAATCAACCAAACAAAAAACCCCAAGCAAAAAATAGACCAAACAAATATACTTCAGAATAATACCCTGCATCTAAAAATCACCATTGAGAGGTAGAACCTTAACTTCATTTTTTTTTTTCTATTTATCATGAAGTAATGTATACTTCCGAATTAGACATACTTTTGTGATAAAATTATGAAGAATGTATAACAAATCTTGTCTTTGTAAAATTTAGCAGTGAGACCTTGAACTCTAAGTGTGTCTTAATTTTTAACAACTTGTACTATTTAAGTTTTACTGAAAATGACAGTAGTGGATTTCTAGTGATTAACTCCCTCTCAATACTGTTTAACTGCAGGGTGAGATAGCATCTTTTTTTCTTTCAGCTAGCACTACCTAAACAAAAAAAACCCAGCTAATCATTATGCTTATTTTAATGAATAAGTCTTAGTGTTTTGTTTTTTGTTGTTTTTTCCCCCTAGGTGCTTATCAGCTACTTGAGTAATATAGACATAGCCACATTCTTTTCTTTTAATATTCTGAAGTTTCTTTCAAAGAGCTGCTTTTTTTAATAAGCAACTGGAAAATTAGTTTCTTCAAATACTTAGAGATTAGTCTCCGCCAATACATGGTTAAAACAACAAAAAGCTTAAGTTGTCTTTCCTACTAAATAAAACACTCTGTGAATGTGTGTGGTATGTAGGAATCTTATGGATGATTGTTGCATATCTAATGCTCCTTAGACAAAATAGAAATTAGTAACTTCTCAGACAGAGGTTGAGTTAAAAGACCTTTTTTTTTTTTTTTTTTTTTTAAAGGAATATAAATGGTTGAGTTGTGGTATCCTGCAAGTAACTTATTAAAAATGAGGATTTCAATAAGATAATAAGAAAAAGTCTAACATTTTTGTATGAAGCAGTAATACTGCCAAAATGGGGGAAAAAGAAAACGGACAAAATGTCTTATTCAGAAGGGGAAAGAACTTTCTCCAAAAAAAGTCCTCGTGCTTCATTGACATTCTCTTGCTGAATTTGAAGGACTGTAGTATTTAGTATGCTTTTTCTCTTGCTACCTAAAGTGAAGAACAGAAACATGTAGTTACTGTTTTTGATCTGTTGATTTTGATTTACCATTTGAAGGCCTGTAACATCAGATGACTATTTTTGCACTGTAATTTTTCATCATCTTTGACCTCTTGTTCCTTTCTATGAGGTATATATACTGGGGTCTAATTCCTCATATTACTGCTGTTCTTGAAATCCTGCTCTGAAGATCCCTAAATATACCGTGTCAGTATAGAGTAATGCCAAGTTGGATGACCTAAGATGTTACACTAGACTTCCCCGCTAAACTTGTGAAACACCTGACTGTAGACATGTAAGGTTGTCACCTGCCTCATTATGAACTGAAGTTAAAAGTAATCATCTCCCATTCCACTGTCCTTGGGCTGCTTTGTTTAAAATTCCATTCTTGCTTTGTGTATTGTTTCTTTTTGAAATTTACTTACAGTAGGTATACAGTGATTATCCTGGAATATAGAGAGTTTAAGAATTGCCATCAGAGGAAACATTCCTTGTGAAGTTTCAGATAAGTGTCTTCAGACAATTCTAAAATTCAGACATAAAATTTTAAACCACATTTGATTAGTGGTATTTTTGACTTAGAGCAAATATATATATTCTAACCACTCTTCTAACTATTCAGAAATACTGTTGTGACTAAGACAACTGACATGTATAGATGGTTGCGAACAACTGTTTTTACTTGCAAGGAATCTCTAGTAGTCAGTTAAATTGTTGATCTCATTTGGTATTGAAGTATCTTGTACTGTTTTTCAGCTAGTGCTATATTCCTAGCCTTTTATTAAGGTTACTGGTATTAAAGTGTAGTTGGAAGTGTTGCTAAAATCCGATATATTTCAAGAAATCCATTAGTCACATGCTTGGGGGATGTGTAACCCCTTTGTTTCCTTAACAATGCTTAATTTTATTATAGGATATATACTTAAACCTATAGTTTGCAATGTAGAATTTACTGCAGAGTTTTAATGTTAAGGTTTGAATGTAGTTTTAGAAGTATAAATAGAATAGCATATTGTCTTTATCTCCAAAGGCATTATATTGTACTTCTAGCAAGCGCACCGACAGAAAAACAGCGACTAGAATGGTGAGTATAATGCTTGCTGTTTAAAAGAAAAACAAAAACAATCAGACAAAACTTAAAACCTGTCAGCAGTGGATGCAAGGGAATATCTAATGTATATAGTATGTTTTCAATGGAACGAAGTAGAGCTTCAGTGTTTCAAAATTAAATGGATGAAGATGATACGCTTTTGAAAAACAGTTAAAAGTGAAGAAGCAGAGAGTGAAGGCTATTGCTTGAAATTTACAGTCCTGTCAGGTTCATTTCACAAATCTTACTTTCTTAAACCTTACCCACTTCTTTTAAGAAACAGTTTGTGGAGGTATGTTTTCAATCTCTTGAAATACTGTTTCTCTGAACAAAAATCCCTCTTTC